CCCTCGGGCTGGGCTCACTGCCGAGCCGCCAGGCCGCCAGGCCGCCGGGCCGCATCTAGACCGCCGGGCCCGATCTTCTTCCGCCCGGCCGCCAGCGGGCCGCCGACGGGCTCAGCGTTCTCGGCACCCCCAGCACCGGCCGCCAGCGAAGCCCCGCACTCTCGGCATCCCAGCCCTGAGTCACCGGCTCTCAGGAGGCCCCCATCTTCCGCTGTGGGCTCCGTCTCCTCCGTCTCCTCAAGGGACTAACCCCGGTAGGTCCGCCATGTTCTACAGCCGGAAGTACATTTGTGGTTCCCAAGACCTTGGGGGGTGGACAGCAATCCTAGACCTCAAGCATCTCAATCATTACATCACTTACAAAAAGTTCAAGATGCAATCTCTCCAGTCCATTCTGGGAGGAATGCATCGATAGATCTCACGGAGGCTTACATCCACATTCCCATTCATCCAGCTCACCGTCGATTCCTGAGGTTCTACTACAAGGGCAGACACTTTCAGTACAGGGCCCTCCCCTTCGGTCTTTCGTCTGTGCCCAGAGTATTTACAAAAATCCTAGCCGTGCTGGCCGCCCAGTTGAGGAAGTTTCCAATACGCGTCCAGTGTTATCTGGATGACATCCTGATTCAAGCGTCATCCTTCCAGGCAGCTCAGGTGGATGTGAATCACACCATTCAGGTACTTCAACAACATGGCTTCTCAGTCAACTTCCAAAAAAGTCAGACAATTCCCTCGTCCAGACTCTTGCACCTGGGAGCCGTGATAGAGACCTCCAACTGCATGGTCCATCTCTCCCAGGAGTGAGTGGTCAGCATCAGGGAGCTAGCTTGCCGGGTGTACAGGGAACGTTCTGTCCAGTTGGTTCTACTCTCTCAGCTATTAGGAAAGATGGTCTCCTGCATAGCCATTGTTCCCTGGGCCAGACTTCACTTGCGGGACCTCCAGTGGTTCCTGCTGCCATTCCAACGAGCAAATGCCAGTGCATCCAGCCGTCAGGTCAGGGTCCCAGTTCAGGTTCGCAGGGCTCTTCGCTGGTGGTTCTCACGGGCAGTGACCAAAGGGTCACCCTTCAAGGAACCGGACCGCATCACCATCACGACAGACGCCAGTCTGTTTGGATGGGGGGCCCATCTACAGTCTGTTTGTGCAGGGCCGTTGGTCCAGCACAGACTTGAGACACAACATCAATTGGCTGGAGCTCAGGGCCATCCACCTGGCTCTATGCCAATTCAGACACACGATCAGGGGTCGCCATGTTCTGGTCCTCACGGACAACGTGGCATCCAAAGCCCACATCAACCATCAGGGGGGCACCAGGTCCAAGTCTCTGATGTCCGAGGCACGGCTCCTGGGTTCCTGGGCAGAGTCCAATCTGGCCTCCATCAAGGCCGAACACATCTCGGGGGTCAACAACCAGCAAGCAGACTTCCTGAGTCGCGCTACGGTGGACCCATCAGAGTGGGGATTACATCCGGACCTGTTCTCCAAAATATCTCTCCGGTTCGGCCGATCGATCCTCGACCTGTTTGCGTCGTCAACCAATGCTCAACTCCCCAGCATTCCCTCCGCTATTTCCTTCCAGGGGCAGAGGGAACGGATGCCTTGCAGACTCCATGGCCGCAAGGTCTGCTTTACGCCTTCCCTCCCCTACCCCTTATACCAGCGACCATCCGCAAGATACTTCAGGAATGGGTGGATGTGATCCTCGTGGCACCGTACTGGCCTCAGAGGCCGTGGTTTGCCGACTTGATGACTCTTTCCCGATTTCCTCCATGGAAGATTCCCCCTCATCGGGTGTCACTACATCAGGGGTCCCTTCAACATCCGGAACCCCAATGGTTAAAAATACATGGGTATTTTCCCCTCGTGCCATTTCCATGATTCAGGCTTCCCGCCGCCCAGCGACCAATCGCATTTATAATTCTACCTGGAAGAATTTTTGCCATTGGTGTCAGAGGCGACAACTAATCATACACAAGCTAACCATCCCTCAAATCGTAGATTACCTTTTGGATGGCCTGGATAGAGGCTTCGCCCCTATTCGCAGACAGGTGGCTGCCTTGTCCACATTACTTACCTGTGCGGATTCAGTTCCTTTGGCTCACCATCCCAGAATTCATGCCTTTATCAAAGGTGCGTGCAACACTAGGCCTCCCGTGGTGCACAGGTATCCTTCTTGGGAATTACCTCGCGTACTTCAGGCTCTAACTAGGCCACCCTTCAAGCCTATAATGACTGTTTCATTAAGGAATCTATCTCTTAAGGTCGCGTTCTTAATAGCTGTCACATCGGCCAGACGTATCTCTGAGCTCGCCGCCCTATCGGTCAGAAGTGACCTTTGCATTTTTCACAGTGATCGGGTGGTCCTTCGTCTTGACCCATTTGTGCCCAAGGTAAATTCGCTTTCCACAGGGCTCAGGAAGTCATCCTACCTAATTTTTGCCCCGACCCTTCCCATGACTTGGAGCGGCAGTGGCATACGCTGGACGTCCACAGAGCGTTGTGGCACTACATCAAGTGTACAGAGCCCTTTTGCAGGTCCGAGGCCTTATTTGTTTCCTTCTGTCCGGCCTCTTTGGGATAGAAGGTTTCCTCTGGCACGATTGGCAGGTGGATCAGGGCCTGTATTGCGGAGGCGTACCAGTCCTCTTCCCTGCCGGCTCCAAGTCATCTCACTGCCCATTCCACTCGCAGCGCTGCGACTTCTGTGGCATGGGCCACTCAGGCGTCCATCGAGGAGGTTTGTAGGGCTGCAACCTGGTCTTCACCCTCCCCGTTTATATGCCACTACAAAATTGATCATTTTGCTTCAGCGGACGCCTCCTTTGGGCGGAGGGTCCTTCAGCAGGTGGTTCCCAGGGACACTATTCCGGCCTTATCTGTTTCCCACCCATCGGGACAGTGAGGTTTTGGTATGTCCCATTGGTGGATTCTCCATCTCCTGTACTGGAGAAGAGGCGTTGTCTTACCTGAACGCCTTTTCTCAGTACGGAGATGGAGAATCCACACCCACCCCTTATAGTCAGATAGGCCACTGTAGGGGTTTGAGAGCCAACACCTCGTCCATCTTCAGTCACTTTCGCCCTCGTTAAGACTGGATCTCCTGGCAAGAGGGGGCGTGTCAAGTTTGGCTACTTGGTCTCAAGAGCAGGCAGACAAAGAAAACCATTGGTGGATTCTCCATCTCCGTACTGAGAAAAGGCATTCAGGTAAGACAACAGCCCTTCTAAATGTAATAATAACATAAGTCTGGGCACAGTTTGGTTTGTAGGTCATTAGGGCAACTGAAGCCTAGTTTTACTCTAAGTATGCTCATGCTATCTTTGCAAACTAAGAATACTAGAGGTACTGTTGCCCACATGAACTGGGAGCCTTGTACAGCATACTGATAGCTATTAAAATGTGAATTCCTCTTGTTTTCCAGAGTCGAGCAGATGTTTATGCTGGAATTTTTCCTGATTTCACATCTGTTAAAACAGTATCTCATTGGGGACAGGTAGAATGTAATTTACATTTTCACTGGAAGACAGAATCAATATTGTATTTGATGAAATGCTTTGTTCAGTATGCAAGACATTATTTTTATATATTTATATTAACATTGCATATAACATATTTTTAAAATAATTATAAAGTATATGTTATATATTTTTAAAATTTCCCCCTTTTCTACATTTTTAAGAATTAATCACCAGGTTCCAAATCTTTATTCATTTATGTATGAGTGGGATGAAATGAATTAAGTGCCAACTGCTCACATAGAATATATAGGATGATTCTGCAAATGTTTCTAAAATGCTAATTTCATCAGTATCTGAACAGGAACTATCAGAAATGTTATATGAATAGATTCTGACTTGATAAATCCATATTCAGAAATTTGTGTTAAGTGAGGTAGTGCTAAGTATATCAATCCATTCCCAAAATTCTTACCTCTTCTTGTTGAATGAGGGTATTTGCTTACATACTAATTAAACTGTTTGCACAATCAATAATCCTGATCAGGCACAAGATGAAGTTTAGGTTCATATAATTATACCGGTTATCATCCTGACCTATATGGTTTTGTTTCCTTAGTTTTGTTTACTTTATAGAGGTGATAATCTGGAGGAAGGCGTAAGAGAATATTCTTAAATAATGAGACACATTGCTGCAGATTTTCAAGGCTGCTACTTGTCAAAAGTTGGGAAAAGAAAAGTAAATTTGAAATCTATCTATCAAGATTCCCCTCTATTTAAACTATGTCTTTCATATACAATTAAGACAATTTTTAATTGTACACCACCCAGAGTTAATTTGTGAGTGAGGTGGGCAGTCTCTAAATTTCATAAATAAATAAAGCCATAAATGTTTTTTGAACTGAGATCAGTGTTTCCTATATTTGGGTAAATCGTTCATGAATGTTGTAATAGGAAAACACTGCAGTAATTTTAATTTCTTAAGTTTTTACTTTTTATAAGAAACTGTCACCCGCAAGATAGATCAGACTAGAAAATCAAAGTCATGCAGACCAATATTACTTTTGTTACATAGTAACAAAATCTTGCAAATCTGAATGTCCTTCCCCCTCTCTCCTTTTATCTTTGTTAGAATTAGGGAGAGTCTTGTCTGAGTTTATAATTTTTCCCGTCCAGTTTCTTTTATCTGACCATTGTTTTTGCATCTGTTCCTTCTGTTACTCAAGATAATTCCTTCTGACTATTAGAGACACACAAAGTGGATCTTCACAACACCTTCTCTCGTGGATTTTAAATGTTAATGTTAAGCTCCTGCATAACATTGTGGTTGTTTATTTTATAAGTAGCTTTTGTAGCTTTTGTACATACACAGTCATGCAAGTGTATAGATGCATAACTTGCTTAGTTTAAAAATGTTCTTTCAGTGCAATTTACTAACCTATTTTATTAGTTTTATTGGTTTATTACTGTTACTCTTCTAAAGAAATTTCAACAGCTATATGTATTTTGAGGGCCAAATATGGCTCTAGTTTTGTGCCTCAGCATGCATATTTTTCCAATGAAATAAACCAGGACAGGAAGATCATTTTATTACAATTTATTCAGAATGTTCTGATTCAAAAGGATTCCTCTCATTTAAAGAGGGAACCCAGATCCTCAGCTTACATTCTGTTTTATAGTTAACACATCAAGAGAAAGGTTGATTGGACAGGACAAAAGTAACTACTCCTTTGCAAAGAAAATCAGTTACATGGAGTTAAACATGTTACATGTGTGTCCATTTAAATCAGCTCTGACGTAAGTAGGGGTGTAAAATTTAGCATGTTAATGATAATAGGTTGCTTGGAGCTCACAAACAGACAAACCAGTCCCAATTAACATAAACTATCTCTCTTTCTCTTATCAAGAAACATTCTGATTTGGAGAACAAAGACAGTTGTTTTATATTGAAATTGAGGAATGTTAGAAGTTATCAACTATTTTACATTTCAATCTGCAATGGTTTGATAAACTATTTAAAAGAGAGCAAAATAAAGTCAAATTAAAATACAAAATAATTATGTTAGTTAGCAATGTTGTTAGTCCATGTTGATACTACAAAGTCCATGGCCTTCAATATAGGTCATATTTTTAATGAATAAATGATTCTTAGTAACAAGGACTTACTTTATGCTGGAACTCGATAGTATTGATCTCAACAAAACATTTGAAATGAGAATTAGAATATTTAAATACATATTGGCGATTGTATTACTTCTGCTGAACCAGCTTTCATTTCTTTTAGGTTATTTATTCCAAGGAACTTAAATATTTTGATCATGGGAAAAAGAACAAAGCCATTTATAACAGAGTAAGGATGCTGTAGACAGAAAAATACAAATTATGGAAATTAGATTTTTTAAAATATGTCCTGTATCTTTTTTCCTTTTTGAATTTTTCCTTTTTGAAAATAAACATAATCTCTGCTCTATATTGCTTTTCTTAACCATTTTATCTTATACTTGTGACTCATATGTATAATTTATGTAATTATCAGTATTAACCATAGAGTATTCATTGTGTATAATTTGTTTTCTAAGAGAGAATTACTCAGGCTGATAATACTTTAGCTTTGGGCAGTGAGGAGGAAAACCCATCCATCTGATTTAAACTTGTTTCTTTGCTTGTATGTGCACTGCATTTTCTGTCTCCACCCATAGCTGAAGTCCTTCAACAGAAATGCAGAAAGAGCAGCAAGCCTGTAGGTTTCTTCCTCCCTTGCCAGTGTTTTTGATTATACCAGAGAGAAACCTGCCTCCCAGCCTGCACATAAGTCCAGTACAGTTCCAAGGAGGTCTGGACCATATAGAAACTGACCAGCAGGCAACAGCACATTGCTTTCTCAGACTGTCCTTAGACTCAAGGACAGCCTGAAGCAGTTCTGCTAAGTTGGGTTTCATCACCTGGAAGAGGCAACTGGCTTCATCAGATCAGCTGGATCCAGAATCAGATAAAGGGAAGTATGCCACTACCCAGCCTTTGAACTGATCTGACTCCCCAGCTACCGGAGAATCATGATTTCAGGAATACTAAGTAAACTCAGCCAAAGAGCACTGACAAAGCCATTGTTGGTAGGATTCCTTCCTTCCAAATGTTAGAAACAATTTTTTTTCCATTAAAGTGGTAGCTATGCAAAATGGCTAGCTCCTTGTGTGGAATGAGTAGGTGGTTGTATCTTATAAATTCCTCTCTTTGCTATGTCACCATAATTCTGATTTTTTTTAAATGTCTGACTTCTTCCTCCTGCCCTGCATATAGCAGATTGCAGAATCAAATTGTGCAGTCATGTCACAGCAGCATGAGTGACAGCATGTAATGCCTCCTGATCCAGGAAAGATTGCAATTGCCACCCAAGATGTCATTGTGCAGGAGCAATGCCTCCTGATCCAGTAAAGAATGCAACTGTCATCCAAGCTCATGGCAGGAGCTGCAAATTTAGGAGAACCTCCAAATTATGAGCCAGTTCTGTGCAGAATGAAAGGTGGTACATCTTTAGAGTTATTATTTAAAATCCAATAATATTAATTATAGTTTGGCGTTTTTAAAATTCTGGAACACATAAGCATGTTTAATAGTTTATTATACAGAGTCCAGTGCTTTTTTTGTAAAAAAAAAAAAAAAAAAAAAAGTGCCGGAACTCACACACATCATACAACCCGCCTTGTCTACCCTACAAGGTTCCATCCAAAAAAGGTGCCAGAACTCCGTTCTGGGTGTTCTATGATAAAAAAAAGCCCTGCAGAGTCCTACACAAAACTGGTACTGCAGCAGATCGCCATTTATAATACAGGGTTCTTGCTCAGAAGGCAGTTTTGTCTACAAACTTTTGGTGCCAAGGATAGGGTGAAAATATTAGTATCTAGCCTGACATTTCTGAAGTAGGAAATACCTGAAAATGCAATTGATCCATGAAAGCCATTGCTCTTTTTTCCCTCTTTTCATCAATAGACAACACCTCCGTTTTATAAAATTGAAGATGTTACAATACCAGTAGCGATGTGGAGTGGAGGAAGAGACATTATTGCAACAAAAAAAGATGTTGAATTACTGGCTTCTCGAATCACTCATTTAGTTTTCTATAAGAATATTCCTTACTGGCAACATATGGATCCTATCTTGGGCCTAGATATTCCACAACAGCTATATAACGATATACATAAGCTAATGCAGAAGTACTAGGTTTAATTTTAGAGGTGGAACCTAAGGAAGAGGCAAGATCTTAAAGCATTTGTTTATTTTTGCCATGAACTCTTCAAATCTAATGTTTAAATTATATTGAAAAATAAATGTTAGAAATTAACTTTTAAAGTAAACTATGTTATATATGTACTCAAAGTTATATGCATACAAATAACTTTGTAAATAATTTCCTGGTCTAAATAACATGAAGTTCCAAGATACCTTAGATTGACCAGAAAGTTTAATTTGGAAAAAGTAGTTTAAATTATATGAAAGCAGATGGTTCTATTGAGCAGTTAGCTGGTATTTATTAACATTCTATGAGCATTTTACTCATTTGCATTTTATTTGTATTTGTGATTTTAGGTTCTTGTTCCACTTATATTTTGTAAGAAATTCATGTTTGTTCATTTTCGAATTTGGATTGTTGATTCATTTTTGGTTCTTATGAAAAGATTTTGAAGAACAATGGTCTTTCATAAATATTGTTAGTTCATTTCAGGCTGCTTTGTTACTTGTAACTTTCTATTATTGTTCATGGGTTTTTTTTGCTATTAAATAAATATTCTTCCATTGATTAATGAACAGATCAATTCAATATTCCCTGGAAAAGCCCTTAAAAACCAAAGACATCTCCTTCCTCTCCATCAGCTCCTGAGGCCATCTGTTCTCAAGAGTGAGCAACCTGATTATAAATTTTCTTCAGAGTGAGTGTCTGTTTGTCCTTATTTATGTCCTGTGGACAGATCATTAAGCAGTTTGAAATATTATATGTTTGATCAGATGCTTTTAATATACAAAGTTGACATCTTCATTGAACTAGTGCTTGAAAGTATGTTCCTTTTTCTGACTTGATTTCTTTGGGAAGCCAGTTTTATTATATACATACTATAGAAGTAACATTTCTTCCTTTCACTTATCTCTCTTATTTCAAACTTTCCAGTATTAATGTGTTTTGTTTTTTCCTCTTTATGCTAGGGTGAGTAAAAATCTAAAATAGTTTAAGATGCTTTAACTATATGAACTAAAAGAAATATATCAGTCAGTTGAGGGCACGCACCCCCAATCTGCATGGGTTCTTTTGGAGAGGTTTTCTCAAGCATAGGCATAGGCAAGGGTGAAGGTTTGTTCTCTGAGCTTGTGGTTTCCAAATGTTTAATTACCAGGCTTGGTAACATGTTCAGCGGAGTTTAGCAGATGTCAATGTCAGTGTTCTTCTGTTTATAAGAGCATTTTCTGCAAAAGGTTGGGTGATAACTACTGCTGCTGCTTGCACTGGCTAGGCATGTAAAGCTTGCAGCTTTACATGCAAGTTGCTCCATGCTGTTTGTTTTTCTGCAGCATGGCCATTACCAAAAATATCAACTTCCAGTCAACCAAGAGTTAATGAGGCTGGAAACAAACTGGCCTGTTTTAAGTTTCAAATACTGTCTCACACCAAATTGCTATGTAATTCACACTTTATTCAAGATCAAAGAGGTAACAATATTAAAAAGCAATAAACAGAATCTGTAATAGACACCTGCCTAAATTGTTAGCTTTGTAACAGGTGCATGCAGAAGAATAGTCCAAAATCAGTCCAAAGTTCCAAGAGTTGGGTTAGAGTTGTCAGCCAGTTCAGAAGCAGAATTCGCGTGAATTACCATGTAAGATCGAGATATCAGATGGTTCTTTTCAGCAAAGTAATATGGATCAGTGCTTCCTGTTAAATCAGGCTACAGCCAGCTGTCACTATTCAAGAGATTTATTCCTTTGTTTGGCAAGAATTATCTGCTGTGTTATCTTTACTCACCAGTTGCAGGGGCTGGGAGATTTTATGTCATTTTCATCTGACTGTTCCGTCGCTCAGATGGTGCCTGGTTTTAATCAGCCTCATGTGGCTCTTGGCTTTATGTCTTCTGAGGCCACAGGTTCTGCTGGAACTTCTTCTTCAAAGTTAAAATCATTGTCTAAGTCCTGGCCCATGACAGTTTAGGCCATTGAATTCAGCACCCTGCTTAGTACTAGAATATTCTAGTTTCTAAAAATTGTCCTTTTAAATAGGGTCCTCAAACTGGACACATTACTGACCAAAGTGGAATAAAGTGAAACAATTAGCTTGTATAATTTGAAAAAGCATACTTATGTTAATACAGCCCAAAATATTTTGACTTTTAAGAGCCACATTATATTGCTATTTACAATATGTTCCATTTGCAATGAATTGCTATTTCAAGATCTTTTTGATAAGTACCATTACTGATTCTGGTAGTGATAATAATATACTAATAACATATCATTAGGGTATCCTTCTACCTATAACTGTAGTTTTGGTAATAGCCACATTGTTGGGTGATTTCAGAATATCTCCATCTGCTATTTTATTAGCTGTCAGTGTCAGGGTGACTCACCTGTATTTTCCCAAATCCTTCTTTTACCCAGTCTCTAGGATTTCTAAATTGATTGATTATTTATTTATAAGATTTTTTTATCCCACCTTTATTACTTTATATATAATTCAAGGTAGCAAACATAGATAATGCTCTTTCCTCCTCCTATTTTTCCTACAACAATCCTATGAAGTGAATTCTGCAGTGACTGATCCAAAGTGATCCAACTGGTTTCCATGTCAAAGGAAGGACTAGAACTAGTGGCTCCTGGTTTACAGGCTGGTACCTTAACCATTTATATCACTCTGGGTCTCAAAGATTATTCAAGTGAAACAATTGGAATGGAAAAAGAACAATGAAAGCCTTTGATCAATTAAGCACCATTGCAATCAGACCAGCCTTTATGTGCCACAAAATGACCATGCAAAATGATTTTCCATAACAATCTGTCCTTCAAACCTTCCAATGGCACACTCATCAGCATTGTAACAGTCCATTCATCTGGCTGTTGATTCTTCTCTTCTCCTCTCCTTCCAATTTTTACAATATATTACACAAATACATAAATGTTTGGTCAGACCATCAGTACCAATTTATCTGACCTAGAAATTCAAACTCATTCAAAAGTATTCCCTGACCATGTTTACATCAGACTCGCATTTCAACTTCTGCCTCTTTATCCTGCTCTTTAAAATTGTTTGGTGGAATACATTATTGACAGAGATCACACTGAAAGAGCAACTAAGAAATCAATGTCCATAGACATTAATCAATCTGTGGACTAGTGAAGCTGCAATACAGGTAATCAGGTGATGGATTATGATTGGGCGTATACGGATCTTTTTATTTATGTACCTTGTAATTATGATCTATCTATTTTTGCATATACTGTATATTCAAATTATATTCCATTGCAAGCTTTCTGTAGGATCTATTCAGTATCAAGTTTTTTCAGACGACACAACTAGATAAGGTAAAGTACATTCTTTAATTTTTGTCCTTAATTTGTATGGGAAATATTTTTATCTTGCAATACTGTTTTAGATGTTAATTAGTTTTTCCAAAAAAAATCTTACCATTCATTCCCTGAAGTATAATCTTTAGAATGAAGGCACATCTAGTCACATTACACAAATAATGCCACTAGTATTTAAATTATATTTTAACTGGTACAATTTACTATGAAAAATGAAAAGCTAATCCAATAGTTGAGAAAACATTATAGGTAAAAATATTGTTTGGACTTTCAAAGTAAAATAACTGATATCTAAAGATCTGAAAGCCCACCTGGGTCTTCTTGTGTCTTCATAAAAATATTGCAAATACTGTAGATCAAATGGTAAAATCCCTACCTGTAACAGAAGTCATAGCTAAACAATAATGTTTTCTAGTTCCTGCTGGAAATTCTTTATTTTAATACATTATATAAATATGGGTAAAGAGAGATAGGGTGCATTTACAGTGACTATCCCATAATCATTTAATTATTCTAATAACAATTTTCCAAGCCCTCCAGGCCAATTTCAAAATTAACATATGACTAGTTAAATTGTGATTAGCTAGTAGCTACCATTAGTTTTTTAAAAAAAATATGTTCTACATATAGTGCTAAAGCTTTAATATCACTTACATGTACAGTATGTGGTAGAAATTCACCACAAGAAGGAGCATAACACTAAGTGAGATTGCCAGATCATTAGATACCTGCTTTTCAAGGAAAGGGACCCTGAACAACAGAAAGGAAAATTATAAACTAACAAACTTTGATGTTGAGAGGTGGGAAATCTGCAGGATTTGATTCATTAACAAGATTTAAGGAAATGGAATGTGTTGCAGATAATGGAAAAAAAATTGTCTCTATTGTAAAACAGAAGATTCCATTTTTAACAAGGATGAAACGTTAAGAAAGCCAGCCTGCTTGTGGACAAGGAAATGCTGGCAGTTTCTCACCTTGTTAACAAAGTTTCCTTGTAAGGATGCCCTTTAAATGAACTTTAATAAATCAATATTTTTATTACAGTCCCCTACCAGATGTGCAAACAAAACATTAAAAATAAAAAATAAAAACCAAACAAAATGAAATGTTACAATTCGTGGTGGATTCATCACTAGATTGTCAAAAATTTGTCTAATTTTACTGGCTGTATAACAAAATTTAGCTATGTTCAAAGAGACTAAACATTGAATGGCAAGTTAAGACTTTCCCATTGTTTTAGGACTAAAGAGGCTTTTCCCACAGTAGGAAATGATTGTCTATTTGTTTTTGGTTAAAATGTTTATATATCCCTCCAACTTTCAGACAATTCTGGGTGGCTCCCAAGTGTACTTTACTTGGGCAACAAACCCAAATTGTGTAGGTGTATTGTTTTCATCAGGTATTCATTGAACAGTAGTACAATCTTAAGATAAGGAGGGGTGTTCTTGGGCTGGTGAAGACTAGAACTCACAGTCCTCAGGTTTCTAATTCACCACCTTAATACTACACCAAATTGGCTCTTTTGTAAGACACTTTGATACTTTGTATCTAATCTATTGCTTTTGAAACCATTTAATCCAAGCTAAATGGCACTTTATAATGTCCACACCATATGAATTTTATATTTTATTTCCCATAATAAATTGAAAACACTT